CACGCGGCGCGTCATGCCGAAGTCAGCCAGCTTCACCCGGCGGCACTCGCGGTCGAAGAGCAGCACGTTCTCGGGCTTGATGTCACGGTGCACCAGCTGCCGCCCATGCATGAAGTCCAGCGCCAGGCCCAGCTGCTGCACGCAGCGCTTCACGGTGTCCTCGGGGAGCCCCACCTGCCACCGACAGGAGCCGCGCTCAGGGGGACAGGGCACACCCAGGGCCTCTCCTGTCTGCCCCGCACCTGCCCCTGTGCCTCTCCTCCATCCGCTGCGGGCCCTGTCTGTGCCTGCCTGGCGCCTCTCCTGCACTTTATGTGCCTGGGCAGCGTCCCTCCTCCCTAACCGAATACTTGCACTGGCTGAATACCAAGCACCCGTGTGGGGCGGGCGCTGAGATAACCCTCTTCTGGTCCTGTCTCATAAAAGCTGCGCGGCTGAGGCTTGGGGAGGCCTGTGCACCCCCAGGGGTGAGCAGAGTCCAGGCCTGCTGCCGGAGGGCTCCCCACTCTCCCTGCGCCCGGTCCCCTCCTGTCTTCTGCTTCCTTCCGAGTGCTTGCCTTCGCAGTCCCCTGGCTTATCACAGGGTACTTTCCCCCTAAGAAGTAGTCAGAAGCTTTCTGTTCTTCACCTCTGCATTCTGGGGACCCCAGCCACCACCTCCCCTCTCCACAACACCATCCCACATACCTGGGGAGGGATGATGTCAAACAGGTCCCCGGCGGGCGCATACTCCTGGGCGAAGACGTAGCAGTCCTCCGTCTCAAAGACCACATCAAAGATCTTGATGATGAAGGGGCTGGACGAGAGGCTGTTGGTGATGCTCACCTCCCGCAGGAAGTTCTTCAGCTTTGTTTTGCTCTTGTTTACGAACTTCAGCGCCATTTTCGTGCCTGGCCAGGCCACAGCAACAGTGGTGAGGACCATGGCAGGATAGGCACCGCCTATCCCTGGCCAGTGAGCCTGGTCACCATGCCGGTGTGCGGCCCTCCAGGAGGCCCTCTGGTTTCCCTGCCGTGCTATTCTTCTGTCTCATCTGCTTGCCCATGGCTCCCTGGCTGTGTCTCCTGAGTCCAGCATGTAGTACACGCTCAGAGAGCACTGACGCTACGGCCCTGCCTTCTGAGCTTCACTTACAACTCATGTGTCATGGTGACCCTTGGAGGTGGCACCAATGTTTTCCAAGTAGCTTACTGAGGCACAGCTGGGTAAATCACACAGTGTCACCCAGCAAGCAAGTAGCAATCAGGTGCTTCCTGCTGCCTCAGAAGGCAGAGGCCTCTGCCCCTGGTTTGTACAGCTGTGGGAACCCACACAGCCCCTGCCCTGAATGGCTGGGTGGGCACCACAGTAAACATATGGCATGGTGGGCATCACGCCTGGTGGTTAAACAAGGTGGCACTGAGGTGACCCCAGGTGTCATCCTAGCCAAAGCCCCTGTGGCTGCATGACCCTGGGTGTTATTGGCTGTGTGTAGGGGTCCCCCAAAGCCTCATGCGGCCATCAGTGGGGCTTGGAGGTGGCTGCACCAGGGGTGGGTGATGCTGGGATTAAGCCCCTCCCCAGAGAGTGCACGCACCCTAAAGGAATAGAAGGGACAGAAACAGGGTGCTGCTGCTGTTTGTCTCCTGCTGCCTCCTGCCTGCTCTATGACATCCCTCCACCATGCCCCCCGCCTTGGAGCCAGCCGACTGTGAGCCAAAATAACTCTCCTCGTCTAACTTTAGGTGTTGGGTACTTTGTCTCAGTGATAAGAGTAACTAAGACACTGTTAAGTGATAGTGTCCTCACTGGAGAAGAGGAGATGGCTTCCATGACCCTGGAAGCATGGTGCCCGATCCTGAGGCCCCACTTGCACCCCTGCCCACAGACACCCGTCACTGACCAGCTCCAAACAGAGCCACCAGTCCCGCCTCCCCTGAGCTCTGGAGGTCCCCGGGTCCAGCAGCCCACTCTGCAGTCAGGACCCCTGTCCCCAGGCTCTTCCCTTGTCCCGTCTGCCTGTTCTCCCTCTCCTGGGCCGCTGCAGGGGCCGCCCTCTCATCCTGGTCACTGCCTCTGCTCCTGCTCCCTCCTGACCTCTGGCAGTGCCTTGCAGCCCAGCCCCGAGGACACTCACCTGTACCCTTGTAGGACACCAGGTCAACCTTCCCGTAGGTGCCCTTGCCCAGTTCCCTCACAAGCTCGTAATGCTTGGTGACATCACTGGCAGCCAGTGTGCGGAGGGTCAGCGCCTGCATGTCTTCTGTGAGGAGGGGCACGCCCGCCCCTGGCCCACAGCAGGGCAGGGCGTGGGGCGGCTCGGGCTCTGGGCAGCCCACACTCATCTTCTCCCTGTGGTGGGCGGTGTGACAGGAAGAGTGACATCAGGCCAGGGCCCTTCCTCCACCCACCTCCTGCCTCCCCAGCACCCAGGAAACTTCCAGCTGGGCCCCCTGCCAGGCCCAAGGTGACCACAAGGGGGCAACAGCTGCCTTGGTCACACAGCCAAGGCTTCCAGGGCTGGGCGCAGGCGGTTATGGTCTCTCCTCACACCTGGGCACCACCAGTCCACACAGGCCCAGGCCAGGCACACACATGATGTCACACAAAGACGGGGCCTCACACAAGTTCATGTGCTCAATCCCACTTCCAAGTTGTGTTTGTCGGCAGAGGGGCTAGGGCCCATAGCCTTTCCCAGGCCTCGCTCTAGCCCAGCACGAACAAAGCACCCACTGTCAGCCAGGTGCAAACCAAAGCCCCAGGGACACAGCACTGAACAATGCACAAGAATCCCCATCCTCAGGGGCTTATGGCACACGGGCGATGAACAGAAAAACACATCCAACACACGTATCATGTCACAGTCGAAGGTGACACGAGCTGTGAGGCCGGAAGGGGCAAGAGCTCACGATGAGCCGCTGCAGCGGGCAGCCCCGCTCCACACTCTGGCAGGGTGGTGCCGATGTGGGCACACACCAGCACGGCGGCCATGCGACCCACGCAAGGCCCGGGCCCCAGCCCCGGACTCAAGGACAGGGTCAGCCCTACAAAGTCCCAGCCTGAGGTGCCTTTGGGGTCCACAAAGGCCGGGCAGGGCTCTGCATGTCTCCAGGGAGTCATGGGAAGCGGACACTGCAGGGCTGGGGACGGGAGAACCCCCGGAAGAGTAAGTGGGTGACGGTGAATCAAGGCTGGGTTCAGGGCCTTTACCCCATTTTATTCCATTTCATTTCCTAGTTGTGTTGGGGTACACCTGACATACAACAAACGGCATATTTAAAGTGTAAGATCTGTTGCGTTTTGACACACGTATATTCATGAAACTATCACTGCAGCCAAGATAGTGAAGATGGCCGTCCCACCAGCAGCTTCCCCCTGCCCCTAATCCATCCCTGTCCCTCTGCGTCCCAGGAAGCCTCCCCAGGGCCTGCATTTCTCACTGGGGGAGTGTGGGCTGGGGGGGGCTTTTCTGGGTGTGGTGTGCAGGTGTCCGTGTGTACATGTCTGTGACGCACTGTCAGGGAACCTGGGCACTGCACCCTCCACCTGCTGTCCCTACCCCCTGGGAGCCGCCTCCTGTGTACCTCCTGCCCAGTTCAGGGCATCTCGCCAGCTCTGTCAGCACCCTATCTGCCCCTAGTTCCTCTTCCCGAAGACACCCCTCTCCCATGGGAGAGAAGACGCTGCCTTGGATCCCAGCCTGGCTCTGAATCCCTGGTTTGTCACACGCAGCCAGATACCCTTGGGCAGCACTTCATCTCCGTACTGCAAGTTCCGCATCTATAAACAGACACAGTAATGGTACCTACTTCCCATGGGCTGCTGGGAAGCATAAAGGAAGTTAATAGACAGCTGGATGTGGGGCGCGTCCTCGAGTCCCTGTGTCAGCTGGGGATCAGAGCAGGGAGTGGGGGTCTCGCCCTGGCCTAGCAGCCCCCTCCCGCCCCACAGCCTCTTCCCCTTCCCTCTGGCAGCACGACCCAGCCTCCCACTTCACACAGAGAGAAGGAGCATCAGAGGGAACTTCCTGGCCTCCCACCCAGCCACAAACGGAGCTCCATCTGCACCGCCCTCCCAGCTGGCTGGGTGCAGGAGCCTTCCCCCACCTTGGCTCCCACCCTTCTGCTTCCTCAGCATCCTGCTCCCTCCATTCATGAACCATCTCTGTTCTAACGGAGCCTTCCCACCCCCAGCTCCAGCCTCTGCCTTCCTTGCTCACTTCTGTCAGATCCTGTGCCAGGGACCCCATGCGAAACGCCAATGCCCTTGCCCTAGGGTCTGAGCCCTTTTCACAGCTCCAAAGGGAGAAGTGGTGCCGGGCCCAGCAAACCAGTCTCCTTCCCCTGCTCCTCTACCCTCCCACCCTGGCCTGGCCCCTGGCACCAAGTGCCGGGGTGCAGAGGGTAAGCAGACTACAGCCGGCTGCTGGCTCCCGATAGTGGCCTCTCCTTGCTTCCTGGCAGCCAGGAAGACCCTCTCCAAGCCCTGTCAAATGTCCACTCCCAGCTGGTGATGAGGACCAGGGTGGGGAAAACCAAGTTTGGCTTCAGTGCCAGCAGAGGAATGGTCGCTTCTGTGTGGGCGTCCTCAGGACAGTGCACCCTTGCCCTTTCCGGGGACAGCGTGGGCTCCCAGCGCTGCTGCGGCATCGCAGGCACACTGTACAGGTGGCCCTTGCAGTGGTCTTGGCCCTGTCTGGCAGCCCTGGGAGCTGGACTGGCAGCTGTGAGTAGCTTCGGGCCTTTAGCCCCACTGGCTTGTGAGCTGCCCTGGCTTCGTGCTGGGCAGGGTGGGGTCTGGGCCTCTCTCCACACAGCGGTATTAGTGGTTCCCCCGCTCTCTTACCCCTCCTCCCAAGGGACCCTAATGCCTGCTTCACCACCTCCAGCCTCACACCCCCAAGTCTCCTCCAAGAAGCCATCCCTGCTCCCCTGCAGGGGCTCCGCTGAGGACCAGGATCTGGGCGGGCCGTGTGCATCCCTTCCTGGCCCAGCTGTGCCGGGTGGGGCTGGCTCAGAATCACACTCCTGCCCGTCCCTCTCCTCCTGCTCAACCTGCGTCTGCACGAGGTGTTAGCAGGGGACAAGGGGTGAATCCTCCTCTGGGCCCTGCTGTGCACGTGAGACTTGGGGGCACAGCATGGGCCTCAGCCTGGATCCTACTGTGCCCACTGTCTAGCCGCTTGACCGTGAGCAAGTCACACACATCCACACACCAAGGGGAACAGAGCACCACCATAGCTCTCCTTTGGCACCCACTACAGGCCCGCCTGGCCCAAAGACCAGCCGCCCAGTCGTCACCATTTCCTGGGGCAGGTGTCATTACTACCACACCATCACGTCGGGGGTGACAGGAACAAGGCTCAGCGGTTCGCCCAGCATTGCGCGGCTGGGGCAGCGTTGCGCGGCTGGGGCTGTGATCGCTCCAGGGTTGGTGCTTAAGCCAGCCCGCTTCCCGGAGGCAGCTCCTCCCGAGGAGAACGTGGGGCTGCGAGGGAAGCAGGCAGGGTGGGAGGCTAGCGTGTCTGGCACCGGACTCGGCCCTCAGCTCTTTATCGTCACAGTTGGTCCTGCCCAGTGCCGCCTCGAAGGCTGTGAGCCTGCAGCGTTGGGCGCTGTCTCTCCACCGCCCTTCCTCCCTGCAAACCGCCAGCACCTCATCTGCTCGCATCTGCTTGCACTCCGCCGGCCCTAGGCCCTTGGCCCTGCTCCTCACAGACGCCTTCACTGGCCCCCTATCACCATGGCAGCGGTTGTAGCTCTGCCACAGGCGGCGGGCACGCGGTGGGGGAGGGTTTCCCAGGCGGGAAGCAAGACTGAGCCACCCACCACTTCCTGTTGGCGGGCACTGTCCGGCCCACTGCACACCCGCACGCAGACACTGAGGCTTAGGCACATGTGCGCAGAGGCGCAAACACCCACGTGCAGGCGCAGACACGCGCACGAGCATGGACCCCCGCGCACAGAAACACGTTGCACACAAACACATGAGCAGGGACACATGCACACATACAAACACACAATATGCAGGTGCAGACACAAACGTGCAACACACACAGCATAAACGCATGCACAGGTCCACACGTGTGTACACAAGCACAAACACATGTAGTGCCACAAGTCGTGTGAAACTTTCCTCACTGACTCCTCACAAGAATCTGGAGAAGCAAGAAGCTGCCTATGTTTTACAAGAACAGTGTGACCGAGGTGTAACTTACACACCACAAAACGCACCCCCATGAGTGCATGATTCGGTGATTTAACAACCTACGTTGCTGGGTGACCATCGCCACAGTGAGATGCTTTCTACTTGGAAGATGAACAGGGGCCCAGCAGGAGGAGGATTTGCGTGTGGCCACGTCAGCGACGGCCAACTGTCCACCAGCACGTGCGCCTCCTCTCCTACAGCACAGGCCGCTGCGGGAAAGTGGCCGTCCAGCAGGGAACCACTGTCGCCCTCCTGCGCGTCCTCCAGGCACAGCCCCATGGCTGGTTTTCCGCACGGGAGTGTGAACAGAAGGGATAGTGTCACTGCCAGGTGGGCTTCTCTGAATTAAGGAAGGCTTCTCTATTTTCTTTTTCCAGGTGCTGGCTTGATGCACCCTAGAAGGCAGGGGAGCTTCAGGGAGGAGGAGCCCAGGTGCCCAAGGAAGGAATGTGGAAGGCTCCATGCTAATGAGAATGAACCACCCTGTACTAATCTAAGAGGCGGAAGCAAAATGTCCTACTGTCAGACCGCTGAAATGTGGGCTTATTTGTCACAGCAGCTAGCACAGCCCCGATGCAAGGGTTACGCAGCCAGTAAGCAAAGTGCTAAGTGTGAACCTCAGCATGCTCCACTGCCTAGCTGGTGGCCAGAGGTCACCTGGATGGGAATAACCTGGGGTGGAGTGAACAGAGCCCGACCACTGGAGTGGGAAGGGAGGGGACAAGTCTGTAGAGAAGAGGGCCTACTCCTATCCTCTTTTGTGGGAGAATAATCCTGGCAAATATATATATATATATATATGTATTAAGCATTGACCACATGCCAGGAGCTTTGCTAACTACTGTGGGTTAAGTCACATAACAATCATAACAATCCTGGAGGGTAGATCACTTCTACTGCCCTCCTCTTCAAAAGGAATATTACTATGGCTTCAACATCCTCTCCAAACTTACGTTGAAACTTAGTTGCCATTTTCACCATATTAAGAGGTGGGATCTCTAATAAGTGATTAGGCCACAATGGCTCTGCCCACATTAGTGGGCTAACGCTGCTACTGCAGGTGTGGATTGCTTATAAAAGCACAACTTCAGCTCCTCTGTGGCCACTCCTCTCTTGCCCTGCTTCCTTCCACCAGGGGATGACGC